AGCCCTGGTTCAGCCTCCTGCCAACCATGAGCATTGGTGCCAGACATCTGAGCATTTGAGCTGACTCTCCATCTCCCTAGTGGGGACATAAAGTTTGTGCTTTCCCAGATGCCTTGGGGGCTTTCAGCAAAATGTTACAAGCTAAGCAGTGAAAAGTGTGTGCAATCAACAGAGCCCTTGATAAGTATAGGGAATATAGGCAATTACTATTGTTATTACTATGTCTCTGTGGTTAAACGTAGATGTTCTGTGTCTTTTATTCCATTGTTTTAATTCCATTACTACATCCAAGCCATGGATAACAGTATACATTTATCATAACTCACCAAACGATAGTCCCAAAGCTACATGTATCACCCAAGGGAGAAGGTAATAACAAAGGATGGATTTCTTTCAGCAGACTTTTTGGAATGTCACATAGTCAGAAGTAATTATGGCTCTAGGAAATATTCTGAGATTCAAGAGACCCCATAGCCAAACCCAGAATTCATTCTCTGATACCAAAGCATTTGGCAGGCTGTGATCTGGAAGCAACAGCTCTGTCTGCTTTGGAAGCTCTAAATGGGGCCATTTGGACTCACTATGACACTGGCTCATCCCCAGACTCCAGAGAGATAGCAGGAGAGGTTCCCCACCTGTTCAGACCATAGTCTCCTTGTTTCTTCTTGGATCTCGCTTAACAGAAACCTTCCTGGATAAAGAGGTATCTTAATGTGGGTTCTAGGGGGTCCCCGCCATCACCTCTCAAGTAGTGCAACATGGATATACACAAAATGATCTATACAACCCTCTGTGGAGCCTTCCTGCATTCCCCGGAGCCAGCCATACATAGCCAGGACACCAAACCCAAGTATGGGTTTCTGTGAAATCCCTCACATTGCTCAGCGTCATCTCGGTGGCAGTGTGGTTCTTCCTCAGACACAGAGATGGTCCTTTCGGGCATATGACACAAATCAAAGGAACTGTGTATACAAAAGCTACAAATATCACATTCAGTGTATAGCTAAGTACATTGTGATGTGCACTCAGATAAGGAAGATAAAAATCTCCTGCCTAAATGGGAGTTATCATCTTACTCAACCTTCTAATGTGCCGGGTTCTTATCAGTCCACATCATCCATGAAGCCCTTCTGCGAATGTAAGGAACAGAACAACAGAGACATCCCTCTGTGACTTCCAGAGACTCCTTTTGTACCTGGCCCCAACAGCTACTCCTGCCCTGGCTTTCACATTTCCAGGGTGGGATGACTATGACCTCTTTGTGAACAGCTCAATTTGATTTCAGACTTTTGACCTAATTATTCACAATGCCTAAGGCTCAGTCTAACATTGTAGGGACAGTCACCCATAGTGACTGATGCAGACCTCAAGTTGCCCCTGAGTATTCAGTTGTTAACAACTCACTCTAATCACTTGTCCTTTGACACAAGTCTCTTTCCTACTGGCCAAGTAATCATGAGAAAAATCTAGCCAGCTTCTGCAGGAAACCAGATGTGTGTTCCAGCTGAGGGCCTCCCCTTCCTCTTTATCGTAACCATACGGCAAATTTTTGCAATTTTCTTTTCTTATTCAACTTTGGTGGCCTGTAGTAATCTAAGCACTTTCTGAGGAGTGCAGAAATGCTGGGGTTTAGTCCTGCCCATCTAGAACAGTGCCTATGGCGATGCCCATCCCCCACATGCTGAAGCAGCAGACTGCAGTGTGCTCATTTGAAGAAGTGGGGCCTTTGCTGGGATGTGCTCTGTCTTCAGCTACTTTTCTGTTACCCATAGCTCTTTGGCCTTACATTTGTCACAATTTATTTTTCAGTTGATAATTTTTGCCCAGTGTACTTGTGATGGACATCATTGTTGAATTTATTTCAGCCAATGGCAATAACTGTGCCTGTGCAAGTTGCAGAATTCATGTGACTTGTTTAGTCCAAAGTGAAAAACTGCTCAGTGCTAAGATACATCAATCATATCATATTATACAAAAAAGTTTTTAAATTATCTTGTTCTCTTTTTATAAGAGAAAAAATGATCTTACACTAACAAAATATACACATAGGATTTCCTAGCCATACATACACACACACACACACACACACACACACACACACATATATATATATATATATATATATATATATATATATATATATATATATATATACATATACAGATAGAGACAAACATTCTTCAAGCATAAGAAGTCTGCCTAGTTTCAGTTATGACTGAAACACTATAAACTGCATGTGGTGATTAATGCCTATCACTGGGACACTTGCAAAATGAAGACAAAAGGATCCAGATTCAAAGTCATCTTCAGCTACATTGTCAGTTAGAGCACAGCACAGACTACCCGAGATCCTGTCTCAAAACACAAACAAAACAAAGAGAAACCGAAGCCAATGGAACACTCAGAAGCTAGTGCTTGTCTTACCTGCCATGGGCTCACAGTCTCAGGCATTTGCTTTGTGGGTGCTGCAGCACCAGAAGGGCCCTGTTTTTGTGGTCACTACTCCAGCCCCAGTCCTGACACCTGCCTTGAAAACTCTGAGCATCTCTGAAACCTTTGCTGAAGGTGAAATGTGCATGGGTGTGAAGCGCTAGCTCTATCAACCGGTGTCCAGTTTCTTCTTTTGTTTGACCTGGGTATGCTTGGCACCCATCTGTCCGTCATCCTAGAACAGAGTCCAGTGCCAGTGTATGTGGTATCTCCTGGGGAAGGTTAAGTTCCCAGGCATGAACTGCATTCAGCCTTTGAACACCCAGGGCATCCTGGAGATAGGCTTTTATTCAAGGGAAACCAGATAGCCATTTTGGTGATAAAGTATTTATTCCCTATTACTGTTTTGTTGCCAAGACTACTGCAGAGAACACAATGCTTAAAGGGAGTTAGAGTCCTAAGGAAGCTACAGATACTGAAAGAAGAAATTTAATTTTGAAAATGAATCAACAGTCTACTGACCAGCATTATGTGCTGTTTACTATTTAATGTTGATTGAGATGACTCTGTCATACTTTGAGCCAATAATTTTTCCTCTGTAATCATTCCCTCCCTCTAAGACATCATCGTTCTGTGTTGCTTAAAGAGGTGAAGCTAGAGATTATTTTTAAGGCAGTTAAATATGAGCCAACATTACAGAAAACTAACTTCTCTAAAGAAACAGTTTTGAAGCTCTTGATTTTATTTAACACACTTTCATTTTGACCATAAACTACTGAAGAAGCCCATTGAGAGTCCAACAACACTGAACAGGACCTTGGTTCTCCTCTGTGTAACTGAGTTCGATAGCACACCAATACAGGCAGTTCCACACGAGGGCAGACTCACGGCAGCACCGTGATCACAGTGTGGAGTCCTGAAGGGTGCGGAAGAGGAGGGGCCTTCTCGAGATGTCTTTACAGAATTGGCTGACTTGGATGCATACTAAACTGTGGTGGTATTGTGTTCCCCAAAATATTGTGCACCCTAATAAAC